AATTCAAACAACCCTTTTATTTTATTTTATTTTTATTCCCATAGTAACCCAAATCAATGATCTAGATTAAATCCAAGCTATTTTAATGGTAAAAAGATATCAAACGGCTGAAATTTAAATCCAATGATCAAAATGATATTTTTAAATTAATTTAAATTAGATTCAACCCCAAAACTCTATAAATACCCACCCATTTCTCAAATAATCTACCAAAAGTTATATTTATGGAATTTCAATTTTTTTAGGTCAAATTGTTCAAAAAATTAAGTTATGAAATTTAAAAAGATTAAATGAAGAAAAATTATCTATTTAAAAAAAAATTAGACTTAAACCATTCTTAAATAATTTAATAAAGTTTCGGACTTAAAATTTGAGTCTGAATGGTTGGGGAAAAAACGGTTTGAATACGAGCAAAACCCAAATAGTTACTTTTTGAAGGGGGAAAATTTGGGTTTAGCCCCAAATGAGTTGGAGAAGACCTTACAACAACATAACATGTGAAACTATATTGAAAGAACATAGCTACATATATGTACCTTGAATGTGTCCTCGTTATAGGAGCCAGGAGAAGGCTGAAGGGGTCTGTCTGTGCCGTTGCCATCATTGAAAGCCCAAGTTCTAGCAACATTCATGCCATACCTGGAGGCTTGTTGGAATGCAGAGGTGACCTTGGCTCTTGAAGATGGGTCAGATGCCATGTACATCATCCAATATGAATTGAAACCATTTATGTAAAACGGTCTCCCATTCATAACAAAACGGGTTCCTTCTGTTCGAGCAAAAGCACCACCATTAGAGGCATGTTTGGCATCACCTTTACAATCTCCAAGTTGAATGAAGATCAACACCAAAAGAGTTGACAAAACAAACAAACCCTTCCCCGACATGGTTGTTTTGTTGAGTACTATAATTTTATGCCTTAATTAACTTTTCTATTTAGTAGCTAGGGCTAAGCTAATATATATAGTAATATAATGGATAATTAGGAATAAAAAGAAATTAAGAGAAAGAAGAATTGGGAAAGCTTTGTGTTGTTCATGTATGCATTAATAATACCATATCTTAGTTACTGGATTGTACATATATACATTAAAAATTAAGATATTTTACCATATTTAAGAGATTTGGTTGGTTTCTGTTTTAAAATATATACCATAAACAGATCTCTTACTGGGATTTGCCTAGCTTCTTTAATAATTAAAAAAAAAACTACGTGTTCAAAAAAAAAAAAAAAAAATTACCACAACTAAGCACTCTCTGGATTTCCTTTTAAAGAGATACCATATTAATGAGAAATTCAGGACTTGTTATTATCAATTCACACGTGTTATATTTAGCCTTTGGTCTAGTGGTAATTTTCTACATTCGGTTGGAGAGGGCGATATATATTGTGATGAGTTCAATACCTAATTAGTTGTGGCTAGCCTTATTGTGGCCGTATTGGCCCGTTGTAAATTGTCGTGACTGTATGAAAAATAAACTAAATTCTATAAATACAAGTCAAAATAAAGTAATATATAAAAAGATAATTGACAAACAAATAGTTTTGTTAAGAAATTCTCATTCAAACACGATAAGTCATTACTTATACGCAAGTTTAATTAATTTTTGGAGTTTGTTACATACATGTCATGAACATGTATGTAACAACCAATGAACAATTTGACCGTTAAACAGTCCAACAACGAGAAAAAAATTATGGAAGCCCAATAGTTTGAAAGTCCAGCCAATACCTCTGGCCCAATCTGTTAGACTTTTTGCTAATATTTACTAACCTTTTCGCACGTGCTTCTGCGTCTGTGCTAATATTTATTAACCTTTTCGCATGCACTTCTGCATCTATGAGAGGCTGTTTTTTTTTTAAAAGTTTAAATTTTATTTTAGAATTTAAAAAGTTAATGGGTAGTTGTGTTCTATAAAAATAAGATCCATTATCTGATTTTTTATTTAATTTTAATTTTTTTAATATGAAAAAGTGTAAATTTACCATATTATCCTCATTTAATTAATAATTTCAATTCTTAATGTTTGTATTAACCAAAGACATTTTCTGGTATTTTGAATGTTTATCATCCTTTGCCTTTTGCTTTATATATATAGAAGATAAATAATGACAAAATTTATCGTCATGCGCCACCATATAAGTGACTGACAAGTTGTATAATTTTTCTTATTTAATAAACAGGACACATTGATGTTGAGCAAGTCAAGAGAGTCAGTAAATTATGCTATGTTTAGATGACTTTATTAGAGAAGTAGTCGAAATGTTAAATAGAACATCCATTTGTACTAAAAGGACAAGATTACGTATTCTAATACTCAAGTCGTGTTGATATAGAGTACATTACCTTTCGTGTTGATATCAAGATGGATGAGCGATAATATACTAAATTCATATACAATACGGACGCTAGGACTCAAACATATAACTTTTCATGGGGAAGTCCAAACCACTACACTAATGGGTCCTATACACAAACATCTTTGTAAAAGAATAAAATCTATTTTGTACATTATCTACTTATTGACAACATCTCTCGTAGAAGTAAGACTATTGTGGATCTTACCTCTATGACAGAAGCGGCCAGCAATTTTGTAGACGATCGTGGTAAATTTGTGTCATTCCCTATTGTAAAAACACATAAGTAACCATGGAAAAAAGGTTAAATAGAACATATGTAACTTGAAATGTTCTATGCAAGGGAAATTTGTTGGTTGCAGTGTGGCCCTATATAAGGGACTTGATCCTTAATCTTAAGAGAAATTATCAAATCTTTAAACTGATAGAAATATCAAAGCTACAACCACATGCTAATTCTAAATCTCGTTCAATGCAACAACAGGTACACCATCAGAACTATCCCATCACAATAAGCCAGTAATTTTAACATGTCTCTTTAGCTTGTAGCTTCCCAACATCAATGGAGACAGCAAAACCTGCGTATCAGTTTCCTAAATTACATTCCAAGACCTATTGAGCCACACAGAACAGCCAGTTGGGTGGAATTTTTTAAAGCCTTCAATAATTGGGGGAAAAATCTGAGAAATTTGTAGAAACAGAGAATTCTTGTAATATTGGGTAGAGTGTTACCTTCAGGAATCAACATGAGCATGGTGAAGCAAACCTCGAGCATTATGCAGAAGAGCATTGGCCTCCTCATTTGAGGCATCAAGCATGCGCAATTCTCTGATCTCTTCCTGCCATTTCTCAATTTGTTCCTTGTGCACCCTGCACCCACAAATTTCAATCATCGAAAACTCAAATAATAAATAACTCTCTGTCTAAATTATTTTGATACATGCAAAATTGGAGGAGGGAGTTTGAAAACAAGACTTCGGGAGCAGAGGTAATTGCTCTTAACCACTTAGCTACAACCCTTTGCGTCTCTCTCTAGAGTATTAAATTAATAATAATATTACCCGATATATATTACAAAAGCAACAGAAAAACAAAACAAAATAAAATTACTCAAAAACATATACTATAACTTTGCAACTGACATAATCATCCGCTCTTCGAATTCATCACCAATCTTCTGAAACATAGCCTTCCCTGATCCCAGAAGTTCAGATACCTATGTAAAACTCCAATTATAACAGAAACAAAAAAAGAAAAAGAAAATTGTAAATACAATCAAACAAGGATTTTTTATTTTTTGTTTTTTTGTTTTTGTTTCATTTACACTGAAATTGAACAGTTAATTACCAGCTGAGTGAACCGTTCGATCTTTTCAAGAATATGAGCGACTGCAAGCTCCACCTCCTCAGATCCAGCAACGAACGTCTCCAACTCTTCATTCTGTGCCTTTTCTGGGTCTGAGATCGCTCCTTCTTCTTCCTCCTGGTAATTTCAACAATCAGATTTCAGACACTAACACAACGGCAGAAGAAGCACAAGGCACCGTTCGGAGATCGCAGAATGCGTTATACTTACATCTGGTTTCATGCGCTTTCTTCTAGATTCACTGTCTTTGTTCTCCATTTGGATCGATCGTCGACGAAGCTAATTAAGCGATCAGCCAAACAGAACCTTGCGATTACAAAAACAGTACGAAATTAAGCATAAATCTTCACTATAACATTAATAATATTACTATTAAGCATAACGTAATAAGCATCCGTGCCTTCGATCTCAATCTGATTGACTGCGATGAAGACGACGATTCAAATCTTCGTCTTCGTCTTGTCTTCTCCAACTTTCAGACGCGCGGGAACTCTGCTTCTACAGACCAAATTTTGTGAAGGAAAGCGTGTTATTTATTGGTTCCAAGCAACATTTTGGTTGGGCTTGATCTTTATTTTTAATTTCAAAATAGGCCGAACTGGGTAGGCCCACCTTGGCTCATTGGGACGTGTCTGATCTGCTAAAACTTCTAAATACCAATTTTTCTCAAAAACTGTTGATAAGTGCTAGCAACATAAAGATTTTCTTTTTAAGAATATATTTTTAACCAATAAAGGATTACAAAAGAAAATTGTAGCTCAAATGGTTTAATAGAACAACATCCGAAGTCCAACGAATCCTTCTTTTTCCGATATTACTTGTATCAAAACAAAAAAAAGGTTCCTTACAAATCAATATGTGCGGATAAATCATAGTGATAAAATTTGACATTTAAGAATTTGTATTGCTCAAGTTTGGATAAAGGATTTGAAAATTACATAGAATTCTAAAATGAAAGAATTTAGATTTCCATCATTTCAATTTATGGCAATTGAAGATTTCAATGTTTAGATTTATATACGTCAAATTTTGTAAATAATAGACTTTGCAAATGGCATTATGGAAATTGTGAAATGACGCATATTTTGGTGGAAATTAAACTTGAAAATTTAATGTCCTAATTTTCATGTCTTCTCTGCTTATCATTTAATAAATTCCGCATTTAAGTTACAAGGGAATTGTCAAAATATTTGGCTCATATGAAAAAAAAAAAAAACTTTGGCAACATAGTCCAACGGATAAAAAAGAAAAAAAAATGATAATGAATTGCCACACAAGAAAAAGAAAATAATAATTGGACTGGGGAGGTGAGCGCTCTATTTCTCGGTTTCTTATGCAACCAACTACGGCGGTGGCCGCTTCTTCTTCTTCTTCTTCATTCTTCTTCTGGAAATTTATCTCTTGGAGGCTCTGCCTGAACCCTAAACCCTAAGACTTCCATCTCTCTTCCTCTTTGTCAATGCCTCTGAGTCAAAATTCCTTATCTTGCTTTCGGTCCTGTTGTGGGCGTGAGGTCTAATTGTAATTCTCAAATGGGAGTGAATGAAAGCTGAGAAGGGCGGGAAGCCATACACGAAAAGAAATGTTCGAAGGAGTTGTTAATCAGGTCATTTCGGGTTTTCTCGGTCGCTACTTCAGAGATATTCAGAGACACCAGCTCAAGTTCACCCTATGGGAAGGTATAATTTTTACACAGAGACATAAACCCAATTTTTTTATATTCCGTATTTAATTTTGGGTTTTATGATATTGGTTTCATGTCTGTTACTGAGAATTGATTGAATTATGCAGCTGTTCTTTGATTTGCACACTTGAAAATACATGGGCCACACACACAAAACACAAAATGTTTGGCAAAAAATTGGTCATAATATAGCATAGGTAAGGAATCTTAATTAATTGATGTGTGAATTGAATTTCATATGTTATCATGCAGGGGCATTGTTCTTGGAAAATCTAGAGCTAAGTCTTGAAGCCTTTGATTATCTCCAGTTGCCTTTTGCTCTAAAGCAAGGTATTTTTGACCTCCTCTTCTTACTATCGTCGTTCTTAAAAGTTCTTCCAAGTTGGACATCTGTAAATTTTTTTATTTGTTAATTTATATACGAATGAACCAGTGTTTTGGGGTGTATACATTATGTACTGATGTAAGTAAACTTGTATCTTATTGACCCAGTAATTTGGGGTTTCATGTCCTTGGTTTAGTATTGTTCAGCAATGCTAATTGGCGATCTTTTGAACTTCAAATGGATTCAACACACTGAAAAATGTCACTTGTTCCTGCACATGTATTTTTTAGTGATTCCAATAATTATTTTTTCTTCTAAGTTTAACTACATTGTGTCTTCGTTACACTTAGAAAATCAGATATGCACGGTCCAGATTTTAATTTTTATGGGAAGCATATTTGTTTATTTTACATTATTATTGTAGAGTCAATGTTTGGGACCAATGACCATACATTTAAGGTTTGTATGGCTTCTAACATAATTCTTTAGGATCATTTGGTGGAATAATTCTGTGAGATTGAGATTACTGGGATAACTAATAGAATAATATTGAATTTGTGCTGAAACTATTAACAGGGTTTATTTGGCGCTGTAGTCTTATGTCTAATAACATGGCACAATGGTTCTATAAGTGCATTAGGAATATTATTGAGAGCAGTAGGTGTAACTTTCTACCTATGATTTTATTTTATTTTTTGTTTTATCTTTTGGGATGGATGGATATCTTATGTCTCATGCGGTACAAACCGGATGTGGTGCTCTCATACCTAGAATCCTGCATGATAACTTCTTAACTGGTGGATTAGGAGAAAAATACTGTGATTTTCATGGCATTATTGTCTATATGTGTTCACAGTTATTCTTAGTAACTACATCTAATCATGGATTTCATTGATAGGGCGGGTTGGAAAGCTAAGCATCAAAATTCCTTGGAAAAAGCTTGGTTGGGACCCCATCGAAATTGTTTTAGAAAATGTCTTTCTTTCTGCATCCCAACGGGATGATCAAGAGGTAATTTTCACTCTCAGATATGTTTGTTTGAAAGAAAATGTACTTGGATTTGACAAGCAGAATTCATTGGTATATATAGTGAAAAGAAAATAAATCGTAAGACTTAACTGAAACCATGAAAAATAGAAAGAAATCTGTTTTACAGATAATCTAAAGGTATCCAATATCATGTAAATTTCAAAAAGGAGAAAATTGAGAGAGTATCTGGAAATTTTTATTTATTAAAAACATTGTTGTTAAGTTATTTTCTCTGGTGTAGTGGAGTTTGGATGAAGTTGAAAGACGAGAGCTGGCTGGAAAAAAGGCCAAACTTGCTGCAGCAGAGCTGGCAAAACTATCAAAACGTGTTTGTGGTTAGCTTCTGAAATACCATTTTCAATAATGTTAAATTTTTTGAAAATGTAGTTATTCTGTGGTAATACTTCGATAATTATAAGGGCTGCAGTGACATTTTAAAAAGAGTTAAGTCAACTCATAAGTTTAGGCAAACAAATCATCAAATGAGGTACCACTATATTATTGTTATTTTAATGTTTGAGTGAAGTCTGGTTGGGCTTTTGTTTCATCTTGGTTATCAATTTTTTTTTTCATATACGAAGTAATTGTTCTGTTTACTACAAAAAAAAGTTCAGATTGTGTTAAACCAATTAGGTGATAAGCTATCACCATATCTTGTCTGTACTCATGGAACGTGGCCTACAGTTCATGGGTAGCTCCTCACTGTCTAGTACAGATTGCAATGATCTCATTCTTGTCAAAATAGTTCTCTTAGTATTCATGGAAGTTCTAGATTTTTAAGGGGAGAGGTTCTTTACAAATTAAAGTTTGGCAACTACTTGAAACCATTTGTGCTTATGTGTTTCTTTTTTGGGCAGAAAATCAGGCTGGGCTTATATCATATATTTCTGCAAAGGTGACATTACCTTCTGAACTTCAAATTTTGGTTGATTTTTGTGATGCATTTTGTTCTTTATTATTCCATCTCAATACTTTAAAAGAAAAAGAGTTAATTGTCTAATTTGGTACTCTTGAAGACATCTTAAGATCAATTTTTTTGGGATTTATGATCATTACTGGATGGCACTGATGTTTATTCCTTTCCCCTCCTAGGCTCTTGACAGCATCCAAGTGTCAATCAAAGATTTTCATATCTTGTACCATGACAAGCTGAGTGACTCGGTAAATTTTCTCCATGTTAGTCCTTGTTAATTTTTTTTTAAAAAAAAATCTTTGGTGTAGCTAGTTGTTCTGTATTCAATTCATGGTTTTGGTCTTAACATTTTTTGTTTATTATGTTTCCTATTAAATAGAAGTTATTTATTATACTAATAAAATTTTTTATTTGTAATTTAATATTATTATACAAGTTAAAAGAACTATTGAAAAACCTACTTTATATTGTTGTTTGCTAAGATGTGGATGTTATATGGTATTTGAAGTTGCTTTCCCCTCTTCACAACTTTTTTCTTAATTAACAACGCATAAATTTCCAGTCTTGCTTATTGTTTTCCAGGCGTATACTGTATTCGGGTTAAAGTTGTCCAGCTTGAGGACAATGAAGCAAAATCCTTTTGGGTAATTCACAGTTTCTTCTGGTATACTGGTAGTTTCGACTGTTTTTCTTAAAGTTATTCTTTTTCGTGTTTACATTGGTTCAAACTCAGGAGAGTCTTTGAATAGGCGTATGGATTGTTCAAGTGTGTTTTTTGGTCCTACATTGTTTTCAACTGCAGTAATGTTAGCTAGAATTTCATAGTTGCATTGTGCCCCCTTTTCCATCTCTGTTAACTTATATGGACGAATGTTAGCATGCAACTGGTTTATACAATGCTTGGATGTTTTTGTCAGTTAACAGTTTCAGGAAAATAAAAAATCTGATTTGATTGTTTGTGAATCACCATTATTGTCTTCCTTGGTTTGATGAAACTGCTGAAACTGCAGAACTCTTAATAGGAAACGAAATACTGGAATAAGATGAAAAGTGTACGACAATTAGTAGGATGCGAACATCTCACAATCACAGGAAACCGTAATGACATAATTAAATATGAAAACATAGAATCAACTCCTGAAAAAATCCACTCAATACAGCAGTTCTCCCAATAAAAAAGAATTGCAATAAGGGGAAATTCTTCCAAATGTTTGGATAGAGAATCCATAGCGAGGCTAAGAACGTAATCCTATCCCACATTAATTCCACAAAAGAGCCAAATCAGCACATTGCCGAAGGGTAATCACTTTGCTTTTAGCCCCTAACCCAAGAAGTTCCAGAAGCAGCCCATAACAGCTTCTAGGTTGCACCCACGACAGACCAAACACATGGAGCACACCCCAGCCCCCGAACCCTGGATCTGACTAGTAAGCCTACAAAGCAGAAAATGTAGCCCCAGATCTGAAAAGTAATATAACTTTTGTGTATTTCTGAACTAAGAATGAGGTCGACAATAGCAGTATTTGACCATGGAAACTTCAATTGATAGTGCAAAGTTGGTGTGCTTGTTGGCATAGGTGGTGGTAGTGAACTGTGGAGCTATGAGGTTGTGGTTTGGGTTATGGGGGTCATCACGGGCTATGGATGTGGGTTGGTTGTGACGCTAATGGTGTTGAATGGGTGAGACTATGGGTGGGTTAGTGTTCTGGTTGAGTGACTTATATTGCTTATTTTGCCCTTCATAAACAAAATATATGGCCGTGGATTGTGGACCTTTTATGTTCTTATAGCATGTGCCAAATGGCTTTTAATTTTATCAATCTCTAATGTCTCAGGTCATCAGGTGGAAAAGGGGGCCAAGATAATAAATATGTGGATATTACGGGTTTGGAATTTTATTGTGGCACATTTCATGGAGCCATGGAATTGATGACTATGAACAATGGTGGGGACTCTGAATTGTGGCACGATACAAGATCGGACAGGGAAAGATATGACTCTATATTGTCACCTTGTGATGTTTCCCTGTCACTTTCGGTATGAAAGTCAATTTTTTTCTATCTTGTTTCTTCTGTTGTAGTTGTATATCATGAGCTTTCTCTCTCTCTCTCTCTCTCTCTCTCTCTCTCTCTCCCTTGTTTTTTTTTGACAAAGGTTTGTTTATGATTTTTCACAGGATTTCAATTATTTTGTATCAACTTGTCTTTGGAATATGAGATAGGTCATTGAAGAGTCTCTTTGTTTTTTACCCCATCTGAAACCTGAAAAAAATTCCACCACCACCCTCAATTTTGAGTTGTAGACACCAACTTCCATGTCCAATATGTCAGAAACAAATGCATCTTTATCAACTACCAAATTTTTAAATACCTGATGTTGGGTTTCTTTTTATTAGTCTTATTGTATGTAACTGCTAATCTGATGTTGTAGCTGGTATAGTTGGTTGGTGTAAGCAGGGTTAGTTTCTTAAGCTCTCAGGACATCTCGTCGACTGTGTTATATATTTCATTTATTTATGAAATTTTGTTTCCTATAAAAAATAATAATATAGAATTACAGATGAAATTGTTCTCAGTCCGTTGATAGTCTGACCAATACAATGTGTTTCTCAAGACAAGAACAAGAAAAGAATACAAAGAACACAACATCAAGCAAAAAAAAAAAGCCACCATAAGAGAGGGAGGAACTTGCTCTGACACCACGTTAAGAAAAATAAAAGAAAGAAGAGAGAGGGAAACAACCATATTATCAAATGGTTGCATCTTGCAAAGAATGATAACTAATGCATAAAATACAAGCCCTTTAAATTAGGCAACCTTGAAACGCTAAAGATGCTAAAAATACAAAAATACTCTTGACAATATAAATATTTTTTATTAGTAAGTTAAATATTCTCATGGTTAGTAAGTTATTTTTGATTGTATTGTCCAGGTATATGCATATATATATATGTGTGTGTGTGTGTGTGTGTGTGTGTCTTCATGGCAGGGAGTCCTTCTAATTATTCAAAATGAAGTTGTACTTTGTATAACAGATGTTAATAATTATAGACTTTTTTCTCCTGTATACGGAGGTTGAGTGACATACTTCAATGCAGGTCAACAGATCGGGACAGCTTGATAACAATAATCCACAGTACTCTATCAACGCTGAGATAACTGGCTTGGTTGGTAACTTGTCTTTAAGGTGTCTGTAAATTAAGTTTAATTGGTGTACTATCTTCTCATATATTTTCATGATGTGCATGTCAGGTGATGTCTTTAAATGAGGTTCAGTTGCAACAGATTTTAATTCTGTGGGATTACCTATGCACATCTGAATTGAGAAATAAGTAAGTTTTTTTGTCCATACTTCTTTTAGCCTCTACATTTGTAACCACTTTGTTGATAAACTAAAAATTTGTTCCACTTCTTTGTCAATAAGACTCTAGTATATAGAGGGGCTTCAAGAAGATGGTGCCTAGCGCCTTCTGGGAAATTTTCTTGTAAATCCAATTTAAATAAGTTGAGACATATACCAGGCAGTCCGCCTTTTCTTCCTTTCAGCATATTTTGGAAATCAAAGGTTCCACCAAGGTTAAGGTGTCCTAGTTTGTGCCCGCATCAGTGTATCTTATGTAAAAGATCAGGGGAGAGTGTGAATCATGTTTTCTTATCATTCCCTTTTAGCTGGAAGTTATGGTGTTCTTTATTTAATGAGATTAATTAAGGCCAACCTACTTCTGTCTTTATTTCAATTTTTTTTTTTCTTTTATCTTAGTTATCAATTTTATAAAAGTTGGCGATATTCCAAAAAAGGAGAATGTGTTTCGCCTAAGACTTTAATATTTTTCTGCATAGCTGGCTCCCTGTCGTGATACTACTGTTGTTTCTGTTGTTGTAAAGTTTATGTTCAGCTGAGGCATTCCTGGTTGAAACTTGAAACTTGCAAAAATAAGTAACATCTGAAGCTCAAGTGGGTTTAAATTGATCTCTGGTGTTTGAATTGTGAAGGTATTGGCGGTATCGTCCATGGTGTAGGTTGTTATCCAAAAAAATGAAGGGCTGGCAAAGACTGTGGTGGCGTTATGCGCAAGAATCTATCCTATCAGATGTGCGTAAGAGATTAAGAAAATCCTCGTGGAGATACTTCGGACAGAGACTGTAAGTCTGTTTCTGTTTATACTTTACCCTCTGTCATACCCATTGAGGCATAACAAGTAATTTTTTTAAAAAAAATTTAATGTTAACATTGCCATATTTATTCCTCATTGCAGAAGTTCTTGCCGGAAGTATGTTAACCTATATAAAACTAAGCTGGATTTTCTTCGCCATTATCAGGTGATTGTTGTTCTTGTTTACCGTCTTCGTCTGGGTGTTTGGTGTCATTTCTGCCTGAAAATCCATATTGTATATGGTTTGATAATATTGCGCAGGGCTCTTAATGCACATGCAAATGTGTGGATGTATCTAGTTATTTCTGGTATGATTGTTTATCATAAATGTTTTCTAGTTACACTAAATAGTAAGAGCAGTGGATATAACATCATATTTGTTGAAAACACTTGTGTTCTCTAGTTGTTCTGCTTTTGGCAGAAATATATTCAAAGCTCCCCTCTTTACCCCCACTATGGTGCGAGAACTAAAAATGGCCTTTGTCGAGGAATCCAGCTCAATCAAGCCAGAAGAACAATTATGTTAGAGGCCTTTATAGTTGAATTTAACTTCATGAGGGCCTTAGAGGTCAATGATAATTCGAGTCTTTCTCAAAGAGAAAGAAATTTTATTCAATGCAGACAAGGCTTCGACTATAAACAAGTACATTCAAACTACACTCACAACAGTTCCGAAATCAAATCCTAGATCAGCTCGTAACAGCCACATTAACAGGCAGCATTCGGTTTCTCATAAAAAAATTATACTACATTAAAGATGAACTTATTGTAGGGCTGGTTGTGTAAAAGTGCTATTATTGTAGTTATATTATGATAGTTGAACTTGGATGGATAAGAATTCGTTCAACTTTATCTTTTTTGTCTCCCTCGATAATTTTTTTGCGACTTTTATTTTAGAAGGTAATGAAGAAATCTACGAGGATTTTATTGGAAGTCATATTTTATGTCCTGTGCGCAGATATTAATCTCGAATAGAAAGCGATATTAATATCCTGCACACTGTAAGTCCGGGACCATGTTGTACTGGATACATATGATGTTACCTTATAGGGCTGGTTGTGTAAAAGTGCTATCTTCTTTTTTAAGCTTGAGGTAGGAACATTCAATTTAAAGGTTGGTTTCAATCATGATATTATGTTTCTTGTTATCAGCCAATTGACGAAAGTACTCAATGGGAATTGGAGCAAATGGAGAAAGAATTAGACATAGATGATATTTTAAGTTACAGGTCTACTGCTGAATGTGAGCTGCAGGTATGAGTGGCATTCCATTATCATAAAATTTGTTTCTTAAAAAGAAATTTCATTACCTCTAGCCGTTTTTAGTATTAACTTATGAGAAGTTTTGCTTGTTAAATTTAGATATTTCTATCCATGTGGTTGTATGTTCGTTCAGGAATTTTTGTCGAACTCTTCAACTTCACACACAATTGAAAATGTTGCCAGTATTTCTGTGGAGAGGATGCCTAATGATGAGCGTTCAGCGGGCAAATCCCGTGGATGGCTGAACTGGCTATCCCGTGGCATGCTTGGTGCTGGAGGAACAGATGATTCGGGTCAATTTTCTGGTGTTGTTTCTGATGAAGTTATTAAGGTATTTCTCATCCAATTAGGTAGCAGTAAACTAGGTTGTTGCTAAATTTTAAATACTGTGTTTTATTACATGTGCAGGATATATATGAGGCCACAGAGTTCAATCCTCCGGTTTTATCTAATCGGGATGCTCCGACAGACAAGATCAGTATATGTGCACTCCAGTTCAGCATTCATCAAATTTCTGCAACGCTGAGAAACATGTATGATGCCTATTTTCAGTACTTAATCTGGCTAAAAAGAATACTAAGTTACTAATTGGTTAAGTATTTGGCTGCTGGAGTTTGGATTTGCATTATGCTTGAGCTTGGCATGAGTGAAGAAAAACTTGACAAAACTGAGGTGAAGCTGAGCAGAGTTGGATGTTATTTCTGCATGTCACTTTCACTTTTGACATTGTCTTCCGGTTGAAGATATCTTAGTCTCACATATAAATTAAATTGAAAACTTGTATCGTAATTGGTGAACAGAAAATAGTAGCTAAACTTTACTAAAAATGTTCTTACTAGTTTTGGAAGCATTCCCTTGCCAGACGAGAAAGTCGAACACTGGATGTTGCCAGACTGTTAATTTGATTCACTGATAAGATGACAGTTTGATGGCATAACATGCCTAATGGTCTGAAAAATAAAATTACCCTAGTAGTGTTCATCTCATTGAAACCTAATCCCTGGATCCATGAATTACACGATTCCAAAATTTTGTTGAGATCGTAGTTCAGATGTATTTGAACAAAGAACTATCCCAGAAAGAAAGAAATGTTAGGGATAAGGGTTCAGGCAGATAGCAATTTGCTGTGATAGGGGGCATTTTTCTATTTTTCTGTAAGAGGTCAAAGAATAGCTGCATTTGATGGCGCATTCTATCCTAACTCGTAGACAAGCGGAAGCCATTGTGAAATGTTTGTTTTCTATGGTTTCAGTAATGTTACAAAATGCCTCTGTTGATTGTACAGTACCATTAGATTAGAGTTAAATCTTCTTTTTGATGTTCTGTCGTCGTGGATTTCCAATCCATCGTTTGTATATATTTATAAATTAATTATTTGATGTCTCTCTTCTGGAAGCTGTTATTGGCAGTCCAAAAACATACCTTGAACTCATTCCTTGTAATAACACAAGGGAGAAATTGCAACTGCAAGAGTGCATGATGACTTTTTTGGAGTTTCAAATACAGTCCCCCACCCTTCTATTTTTTTTTCTTTATATGCCAACCAAAAGGTTTTATTTTTATAATAGTTGCTTCATCTGTCTCTGTAAGTGATCTATTTTATCTTTCACGAACAAAAGATGCATGCACTGGTGTTTTTTGTCTTTTTTTTTCCTGGTGTACTATTACCTTTATCATTTACTTATTTTAGGTACTATATGGTTTAATTTGTCAGGAAGTATGGCCAGGAAATTGCTGAGTTGATGTTGAATGGGGTGATTGTAGAGTGTAAGTTTTGGGAAGAATCTGCTACCATTGTCACCACTGTCAACTCAGGGCAGATGGTTTATCCTTGTAGCAAGAAAGTCATTCTGCATATGAGAAGGGTTTGTAATTGATTTTTTCGTTTTCCTTTAGTTGATGTTTCTTTTTCTATTTTTTGGGTAAAATTGCAGAATTTTTTTTAAACAAAATTTATAAAAAGAAACAAAGGTTTTCTTTTATGGGGAGTAAATGACTTTCATATTAGGTATTAAGTGTTTCTGTGAAACTCCAGTGGATAATCAAAGCTCATTCAACCCACCTTTCTGATGGTCTTACGTACTGGGGCAATATGCCTGAGTTAGACAGAGATGAAACTTTCTATGCCGTTTATTATATAATTAATTTGTTACTCGTGGGTGTTTAGATACTGTTACTTGCACCACTGTGATTCATGTATCTCAAGCCATGCTAATTTCCAAACCAGTTGACCGCATACTCAATGGACTCTCTTTCCACTAGGAAATGTTGCTTAAAATAACATCTTTATGGAATCGTTAATTTCTAGTAAGCAATCTTATAGAAGACAGTTCCTGTGAATGATCATTTTCTTTTCAGCCTATTATTGAGAAGAAACTATTGGACAATGTGCATCCTTCCTGTAAATTGCAAGTGGATGTGTCACCAAACCTTGAGGTTGAATTGTCCATTAAGGTACCATTACCATCTATTGTGGTTAGATACTGAGTAGGTTATTTAAGGATCCTCTATTGGATATCTAGATATGTTTTGGTGGTTATTATTTGTCTGGAAGTTGTTTACTGACTGTTGCATTATCCAACCCCTGTACCTAGGGCACGCTTCAACCACTGGAAGTTACTATTGATGCAGAATTTTTCCTAAATCTGATTGATTTTTTTGGAGTTTTGAAGTCCTTTGAAGGTCAGCATGGAAGGGTAAGAATTGATATAAATTTGTTGCTACAAGTTTCTGTTTTATTATTGGTCTTTTGCCATGCATGATTATCAGCAACTCTGTTGAAGCTCGATATCACACACACACACACACATGTGTATATATATATCTCCCCCTCTGGTTTGCTTTTCGTCTATTTTGCTAACAAAATTGATTCTTTGTTGCTACTATTGTTTTCGGATCCAGATTTTTTATATATAAAAAAAACATTTAAAATGCAACTCAGAGTGTGAAGTTGCTCGAATTTCTAAAGTTGGAGAGTTTTAATTAGCAAAGGTTGCAAAGGTTATGTGAGAAGAAACCATTTTAGTAGTGTTCTAAAGTTGGGGAGTTTTAAAAATAGAACATACCATTTTAGTAGTGTTCTCTCGCTTTGCTCACGGAAAAATGATACAAGAGTGAAAACTTTGTTCACTATGCTTAATGAATTCCTTCCCTTACCACATTGATAAGCTTTTGGATGTTCTTCTTGACTGGAGGTTTTCTCCCTTCAACCACTGACACTTGAAATATGAACTGCTGCAGGTCCTCTTGTCGCTGAATGGGATTGAAAATGTCAATGGTCGACTGTTGTCAAAAGCTGAGTAAGTTTTCTTGTTGCCACTCGCAATGTTCAATTGCTTGTCTCTACCCTAAGAATTATCGACATCCTTGATATTGTCAAGGCTTGTACAAACTGATGAATATATCAATGTTATTGTTTGCAGATACCTTTTATCCCATCTTAGGAAAGTGTTGTGGGATGTTAGTATCTTCAATATTATCATAAATGTTCCTTGGAGAGATGCAATATCTGAGCAGCATAACTTGGTAATTCCCATGATGCATGTTACATAAAATGTTGCTTTTTGAATTTGACATTTCTTGATGCTATTTTATGGATAAAAAAAAGTACAATAAATGCGGACAAGAAGCCCGCATCAGAATTACAGAGCAGATCTACAGTAAAAGCTACAACATATCCCATACCAGCGCCAAAACAAACATGTAACTACCCAAGTGCAGCCTTCGCTTAAAAATAATAGAAGATAATATAGATTCCCAAAATGAAGCTCAAAACCCAATTCTAGCCCAAAGCGATACGCACCTGCCTCTCTGTGATCTCACAGTTCCTCCTTTTCTTCTCCATCCAAATGACCTAGAAGACAGCCAAAATGCTGCACCCCCAAGAGGACTTCAGCCATCTTCCTTTGTTCAAAGGCCACATGTTTTTCGCTTAACAAGGAGAAGCACCTTGCCGATATCACTCAGCGCACCCCAAAATCCAAAAACAAATTCTCATAAACTGAAAGCTACCATGCAATGCATGAACAAGTGATCTGCATTTTGTGCCTGCATCTTGCACACAGTGCACCAATGACGTGAAAACTACAATATGGTCCACTTCTTTGTAGCAGATTAAAACAATTCATCCTGTAATGCCCTGCAAGCCAACTGAAGGTTAAACTTAGGAGGAACCTTTGCTTTCCAAATTGTACTAGCTGGCCAAAGTTCTGATAAAAAATCTGAAAAGAGACTTCAGAGAAAGCTCCAGATGATTCCAGCCTGCATCTTCTCATATCAGACCTGCCATCGATCAGTCCAACTCAATTTTTTTCTTTCTAAAGGATAAATGAAATCTTAGTAATAAATGGAAAGGTCACAAGGTGTCATCTGACAACCAAAACTAACAAGCCACCAACCAAACCATAAACATTCAATGCAATAGCAGTCCACCCTTCTTGATGTTTAACTATTTTTGAGAAAAAATATTGTGTAATGTTTTTGGAGTACACTGAAGATCTTTTATTTTTGTCTTCTTATTTTACCCTTCTATTGCAATTTTGATAGGTATTTGAAGCAGGCTCTCTTATGTTTAGGACTAAATGTGATATGGGGTCTAATCCATCAGATAATGAACAAGCATATGCTCTGAATAACTTATTAACTTCCGTTTCTGAGTGTAAAGTTCCTCTAAGCTTCCTACTTCAAGATCTATACGATCACTTTGAGGTCAAGTTAAATGATTTCGAGGTTAGGTTCTAGTCAGATACTCTGAACTCCTATCTATTCTTTCAGATTTTTGAGGATCAAATTAGTGATAATCATGTTATTGTGCAGATGAAGATAACTATGCCTTCTCATACTTTTCCAATCTCTATCTTGGAGAAACTCAGTGCTTCTATCTCCTTGGCACGTTGCTTGATCCAAGATGAATCTGTGTTGAAACAGTTGGAGGCATGTTTACTAGTAAAAGATTTTTTTTAAAATAAAATATCATGCTTACCCTGTCTTGGTTATATCTTAGCTGAATACCATTGTACTTCCTTCTCTTTTAATTGTTGAAAACCTTATTATAGTCTTTTGCATTGTACTTTATGGTTTACGAGTTTGGGCTGATGGTTTATTTGCACATTGCATTTTCTTTTTCTTTTAAATCATCGTCCACATCTCTGGATGGCGCGTCCTATTAGGAAAGCACATAGTACATGCTAGGCTGAATTTCTGACCATGCCCACCTGAACTAAAGTTAGACCAATCTAGTTAATTTGAAGAAGAATGACTCACTGATCCAGGCAAGAAGAAGCTTATACAAGAAAAGAAAAGTTCAAAGGTTAATCTATATAGAACAATGGTTTGATTTATGCTTGCTTAATGGCATAACATGCAGGCTAGTAAAGTCCTGTTGTACTTTATGTTTGTATTTTGAAGCTGTTGTTTTAGTTTTGCTTAAGTTTTTTCAACACTTTAAAATTCAGGGGTGATCTGGAAAATTCAAAATACGCTAGATGCAGTGTACAGATCCTGCTTATGTATCATACTGTAGCCTTCTACTCTTCGTAGTGTTACAAGTGTTAGTTTTGTCTTGTGTCTTACTGATATTTCAATTGTATTGCTTCAATTTATCGTTTTTAATAGTATTAAAACTGACAACGTGAAACAAACAAAATGAAGCAGATATTAAAGTACTGTTTTATCATTGTTTACTACATAAAAATGCTTTAATTGCCCATGTACCGGCTATGCATACATGTGTAGAAGTTTGCATATGCATATATAAACATGTCCTTGGTGTTAGAATATAAAATAACTGTGGGCTCACATTCTAACAATTTAAGCTTTTAGGAATAGTGTAAACCAACAAACTTATCATGGTGTTAGAGAAGGAGATCCTAAGTTTGAATCCCTGTATTTTCATCCCCTAATGTAAGTTATATTCCACAGTGGGCTCTCTACTGGTGGGAAGAGGTCCACATGTGAGTGGGACTGTGGGAGTGATTGAATATGAAATAATTGTTCATTCGTATCCTAATAGTTTCAACTTTTGAAAACATTGGTGAACCAACAAAATTTATCAATTGGTAGACTGCTTAGCATCACGAAACTGCTTTTAACTTTTTATTTTTGCTAGTTTAAGTAATAGTTTGGTTGTTCTCAGTTGGTTTGTTGTTTGAAAAGATTCTCAGTTTTTCTTTTAATTTCAGGTTTATATCAATGTATCATCACTTAATGCTCATTTCTCCCCATCCATATATGCTGCAATTCTGGGATTAATTGCTTACCTAGGTGCTCTGCAATCAAGCTCTGAATCTGTATCCTTGGAAACTATTGATTCATTTAATGTCGCATCAAAGGGATTGAGGAGTCCTGCTGCATCAAAGGGATCGAGGAGTCCTGTTTTCGGTTTCTCTACCAATGTCAAACTGGAGACAGTCAGCTGTCGTGTAGAACTTGAAAATGAGAAAGAAAACAGTTCATCCATCATGCTTGTGTTCCAACAATTGTATATCAGGTATTTTTGTTTGTTTTTTATTTGTGGTGGTGTATACATGTGGGCTTGGCTATGTGCATGCACTCTTGAAAACAGACAATTACACCCACTTGCATGTTATACCATTGATTGCGTAAACTGATAGCACATTGCATGCCAGAGTTGCAAGTATCTCTGGCACCTGATTGTAATGGACTACCCTTGTATTTTCTTCTTTTTGATTTGTAAAGTTGGAAATGTTATTGGCACTCCAAAAGAGTCATTATGCACGCCTCCCTTAAAAGAACATAGGGAGAACTTGTATATGAAGGAGTGCAGGATGGCATTTTTGGAGTGCCAATAAAAGCTTCCATAAAGTTTATATTTATCCAACAAAATTGTATGTTGCTTGTAGCACACAGTACCCATGTATTTGGGCATTGAGGTTACAATTTAATTTTCCAAAATTGAATATCATCAGCGTGCTCTAAAAAATGGAGGTTCATGCTGAGTTGTTTAAAATGCAGCTATGCTCTTGCAGAACTTGAGAAGTTCTGGATCTGTATGGAAGCATTGAGGATCACCACTTCTCCCTTGACTGGTGAAAGTGATAGCCATATTCTTCATTCAAATGGGAATCAATCTTCTACAAGTGCCTTACATCAACATGGTATTGGGTTGAGCAACCGTAGTGATGATTTTGCCAAAAACATTTTAAATACTGAATCATGCTTTATTTTACAGTATGAGTCTCTTAGGAAGGAGTCAGTTCATAAAAAATGTAGAATATGCTTGAATAATGCTGATGTACACTGCTACCCAAATGTAATCAGGCTTCTGATTAGATTTTTTGATAAGCTATCTACCTATGGTGCATCTGATCATGGTAACCTGCCCTCTAGCTCATCCGTGGATGCTGGGAATCCAGAAAAGGTTAATGGTTTTGGGTTTGAAAGGTTTGGTTTCTCGAACTTCATTGAAACTGGGTCCTCTGAGCATGCAAGCATACCTTTAGATCATTTTCCTTTTGTTACGATATGCAATTCTGGTTCCCTTGGTAGCCTTGAAAGTTCTTTGCTTTATGCCAGTCATGAGTGGAGAAAATATTTCTGTTTAAGGGAAGGCGGAATCTGCTGTCCACAATCCAATACAAAGAAGGTATCTGAAAATTTTCAAGCCACACCATTAGAGTCCACATCTGTTGTTGAAGCATCTGATGTGGATGGGAGTTCTGCTGATACCAGTAGTCTGTTTGCCATTGATATAACTCTCTCTGAAATCAGAGTGCATTTTCATGATTCTTCATGCATCATTGGGATGATTACCTTGCCTACATCTAAGTCATCTGTACTCATTTCTGAAAATTGCTTCGATATATTGTGTTCTACAGAGGGATTAGTTCTCACGTCATCATGGTACCCACAGAACTTACGTCAGTTTCTGTGGGGGCCCTCACTTCCCAGTTTATCTCCTATTTTAAATGTACGAGTGAGGAAAGAAAAATGTGGGCCTTTGAGTTCTCGTATTGAAGTAAGCTTCAGCGTTCAGCATGTATATTGCATTTTACCTCCTGAGTATCTGGCAGTACTAATTGGTTACTTTTCGTTGCCTGATTGGAGTTCAGATTCAAATGAGCAGCCTGTCATTGTAGGGCATGAATATACTGAAACTGAAAATGAGTGTTCCCTTGTATATAAGATTGAGATACTGGACTCTACTTTGATTTTGCCCATGAAAAGCAATGAGGGTCATTTTCTAAAGACTGAACTTCAGCAGTTGTATTGTAGTTTTATTGATAGCAGCAGTTTAAATAATGTATTGAAGGATATTCCTCCTGAATGTTGGGTTCCTGCACATAAACTTTCTGAAAGAAATCACTGTTTAAATTTATTTGGACGAGACTTGTTCCTGTCATTCCTTTCTTTAAAGGATGATGGACACAGTTACTTAAAGTTTGATCAAGATATTGAGCATGTAGATATTCCATTAGTTGCGCCCCTATGTGCTGATGTTTGGGTGAAGATACCATGTGAAAATGAATCCTCAAGTTCTCCCTCAACCATCTGTGTCATGACGAGGATTAAAAACTGTCAACTTATGGCTGAGGGTAAGAGTTTCATATTTCATATTCAAGTTCTTAACCAAAATCATTTCAGTATTAATTTATTATGTTACATGTATGAAGTTCTCTTCACAATAATTTTTTTTTGCATGTATGAAGTATTAACCCTTCTCTTTTTCTTTACAGATGCTCAATTCTTTCATGGATTTGAGGGACTGCTTGATGCCATAAATCAATTTTCTGAAGTTTCTGATGTATCTAAATGTTTCAAATCTGATGTTCCGCAGTTTCTTCAGTTAAAGAGGACTTTAGAACAGAATAATGCAGTTTCACCTGTCGTTTCAAGCATTACATTTACAGAAGTCAGATGCTATTGCGATTCTTTGTCGATGCAGTTAAATCGCTTTGGAAAAGACTTAAAAGAACCTATTGCTAAGGCGGAAATGCAATTTATGTGTTCTGCATCATTGAGAAATGACGATCTCTTAAATGTAGTGATTAGTTTTTCCTCGCTAGCTTTATATTCATTACCTGATTCTGTCGTATTAGCAAGATTCAAATCCATGTGTTCAACCTCAGCAGTTCTTGATTTTTCTCTTTCGAAAGAAACTCATGGTGAAATGGAGCTACTGGTTTCTTTGCCTTCTGTGGATGTGTGGTTATATTTGTCTTACTGGACTGACGTAATTGACTGTTTGAAATCTTATCCTGGACAATTATCCATAAATGAGCCTGACAATTTAAAGCAGGATGCTGATGTTCTGTTTGTGAAGTCAGAAAATATTTGTGTTACATGTCACTTTCCTGTCTGGATTGGTGATGATGGTTGGGAGGAATATCAGGTAGATGAAGGTCATGGAGAGGGCCATCCAAATTATTCATCTCGCACGATTAACAGAAAAAACTTTAGATGCCCTGCAGTTACTGTGTGCAGTAAAAGTAGTGAACTTTTGGTTGATGGAAGAAATGTGAAAGTGAAGTCCGACATGGAAAAACTGAGTGGCATGGTATTGCTGAGCGAGGAAAGTGGTCAATCATGGCCTCTTTTCCAGATTTGCCAAGTTTTTGTGGAAGCTCAGATTAATAATAACCAGGTGGAGCTTGCGCATGTTGAAGTAGATGTTCAATGTGATCATTTAGATGTATGGATTTCACATAGGATGCTCTACTTTTGGCACGGCGTACCATTCAATGTCGGTGAAGGAAGGCCTTCTCAATTTTCTTATGGAGGACTTGATTTTAAAGTTCAACTTAGGAAGATTTCATTTCTGCTAAGTGATGGAAGGGTATGCAGACCTTCTTCAGTACTGAAGCTATAAATTTTCTTTATTTCCATAATTTTCATATCATCTGATTTATATTCATTGTTATAGGTAAATCAAGGGTATGTTTTCCTAGTTTTTTACTGTTCGCTCTTGTATTTTTGTGATGCAATGATTGGTTTCTCATGGCGTTTTATTTTGTGTGATTGTCTTTCTTCAACAGTTTAGTGCTTGATCTATTTTATAGTAGAGCACTGTATTGAATATCATTTCGATTGGTTTCATCACACTTGCAACTTTGGAATTTCTTACTGCTGAGGAGAAGGAAATAAAAAGAAAAATAAATTGCATTTGTGATAATCGACATGTTTGTGTCCTAAATGCATGAGGCTTGCCATTCTAATGATTCCTTTTTGCATTTATGTAGTGGAGTTGTAGTGGACCGCTGTTTCAAATTCTTATGGGGAACATCTTTTTGCATGCTAATGTGAATCAAAACAACCTCAAAGGTTCAGTCAATGGTGACCTTCAAGTGAACTACAATAACATTCACAAGGTATATTTTGACAAACAATTACTTTCACGTGCATTTCAATAACAATGATATTCTAATAGCTTCTTTCTTTAATGACTGAAGGTCTTCTGGGAACCTTTTATTGAGCCTTGGAAGTTTGAGGTTGATGTGATTCGAAAGCAAGAAATGAGTCTCAACAGCTCCATTTTGACAGATATCAATATCAAATCAACTGCGCACCTTAATCTGAACTTCACTGAATCCCTTATAGAGGTGTGAACTTCACCGAATCCCTTACCCTGCTATATCCTTTAGTTTGCAGTACATCTAATCTAAAAGTCTCAAGCATCTTATAAAGGGTGTTATTGTCAACCTACGAAATGTGAAGGAGCAACTTTTTATATATATATATTTTTTTATGCAACCTGAATAGAGCACCTGTTTGATAAACCTTGAATGTAAGTCACATTGGTATTCATTGCACAACTGAAACACACACATTGGAAAGGAATGAAATGGGGGCTCGTTCATATAAAACATTTGTACATCTTACACCTATCTGTGAGGAATTGAAAAGATGATCCCACTTCATGAATACTAAGTATGGCTATCATTTCAGTAGTTGCCTTCGTTGTTAGTTATGGATTTGTGCCCCCTCAAATGCTCCCTAGAAAGAAATGGTGCCTGTCATATATCCTTCTCAGAGAATATTCAAGTATATACATACTATATAATGTATAGTCCCCATATTAAGAGATATTCCTTTTGACGATAACCATAAGGGATTGCACTGTTGGGGCCATCCTGTAATGTGGTACAGTCATCTTAACCGTCTAATTTTTAGATTCCCATTCCAAAATCATCCGTTCAATAAGTCAGCAAAACCAGAAATCGTTTGACCATATCATTATCGTAATGGACTTTTCAGTACCTATCAGAAGCAGTGTATTCATCTATTTATTTTGTCATAGCTAGATGAGATGACCAAATAGTTTCCGATTTTGTTGATTATTTTTTAGGATGATCCTTGAATGGGGTCTTTTTTAGGATGGCTCAAATCATTGGATCACATTGAGGGTGGTAGCCACATTCCCTTTGGTTCTTATCACAATATACAAATCATCTTTAGACTCCCTATTAATGACATGTTACTTACCTAGAACGGTTAATAGAATTATTCCGATTACTGACTTCCCTTACGTTTACTAAACATGGAATCAACAAGTATGTGAGTCCAACATTACGATTTGTAATCTAAAACCTGAAAAACCAGGAATTAGGTTGATTAGGGGGTAGTTGATCTCCCCTATTCCATACTTCCCCGATTCATGACTTGCCCTATTTCAAGTAAGTAAACATGCCCTAATGACCTTTGAAACCATGCAAGAGTTGCATAAATCTAGAAGTTACAAATATTTTAGCAACTATGATGTTTTCTGTGTAGTGAATTACATTGGTTTTCAATAAGTTGTCAAATTTGTAGCCCATCTCATTATTGTTTCTTAACAGTGTGTGTTCAGGACATTTGAGATGATTAAGGATGCTTGGGTTCTAATAGGTCCAAATGATCTTCCTGAGAGCCAGAAGTTATTAAATTCTCCTTATTCTGAATATACGTATGCAGGAAAATACGCTCCTTATGTACTTCAAAATTTGACATCTCTACCTCTATTATATGACGTTTACCGAGGCCCAATTAATCCTGATGATTTTGGTGTCTCGGAAATGAAGAACAGAAAATATGTGCAACCAGGTTCTTCTATTCCAATCTATATCAACGATACTCCCGAGGAACAACTTATTAATGTTAAGCCAGCTCACTTTTCTGAGAGGCTTTTTGAGCAGAAGGCAAATGGGGTTGCTCATCAGTATATTACCATTCAATTTGATGGAACATCAGTATCTTCTGATCCTATCTCAATGGATCTTGTAGGACTTACCTACTTTGAGGTTGATTTTTCAATGGCATACGACAACAATAGGGGAAATAATAGAACAAATGCCATTGGCGGTTTTGTTGTTCCTGTTGTGTTAGATGTTTCGGTGCAGCGTTACACCAAGTTAATACGACTGTACTCGACGGTATTATAACAACTCAATTTATGATATGATTTTATGTTCTTAGTGTATCCCTTACACTTTATATCCATGCAGGTTTTACTTTCAAATGCAACTTCAATGCCACTGGAGCTGCGATTTGATATTCCATTCGGTGTGTCCCCAATGGTAGGAACAGAAGTCATTTTTCATTTCTATGACTATGATAGTTAATTCAATACATTAACAATGTCATATTTATGTTACCGTTTCAGATCCTAGACCCAATATACCCTGGTCAAGAGTTACCACTGCCTCTCCATTTGGCTGAGGCTGGTAGGATTAGGTGGCGTCCAATTGGAGATTCTTATCTCTGGAGTGAAGTTTATAACCTCTCCAACCTGCTTTCACAGGAAAGTAAAATTGGATTTCTTAAGTCCTTTGTCTGCTATCCCGCTCATCCAAATAGTGATCCCTTTCGATGTTGCATTTCGGTTCGAAATATCAGCTTACCTTCATCTGTTAGGTCAAGGAAGACCTTTTCTCCGCATCTGAAAAGTACTTTAAAGCAACCGGTTGTAGGTGGTCAAATATCACAAAAGTTAGAGGAGTCAAAGAAGCAATTTGTTCACCAACTGACTCTCAGTATCCCTTTAGTAGTGAATAACTACCTTCCCAAGGAAGTGACATTGACGATAGAAAGCGGTGGCATTACTCGGACTGCATTTCTTTCAGAGGTTTGTATTGTGATGTTGCCAAGTATATCTGTCTTTCACTGAATAAGGAGTTCTCTGCTACTTTTCATTTTCTTCATCCTTATGAAGGTTAATAGCATTACCCAGGAGAGTTTTATTTTTTGTTTGTGTTTTGTGTTTTGTGTAGGTGGAAACTTCCTTTCATAATGTTGATCCTTCGCATCACCTGAAATTGGAGATCCTTTTGCATGGCTTCAAGCCAGCAGTTTTGAATTTCCCACGTAATGATACATTCTGTAAGATGGCTAAGTTTGCTGGAGTGAAGTTTTCACTCTCTGAAATTGTGGCCTTTTATGCAGACTCATCAAACGGTAGTTCATTTATTGTTATTGTTTCTGTTGAATGTAACTTTATGCTCAGTAGGATTGTTGATGGTGTTGGTTTTACTATGTTTTAGGTCCTATATATGTTACCGTGGAAAAGGTGTTGGATGCATTTTCTGGTGCCAGGGAACTTTTTATCTTTGTTCCCTTTCTGCTGTATAATTGCACTGGTTTTCCTCTCGTCATTTCAGAAGCTTCCAGTGAAATGAAAGGAGTAAGCTGCTCTGTTCCGTCTTGTTATGATATGGCTGAACAAGAACTGCTTCAGGGCAAAAAAGATGGTCTCAGTCTGGTATCATCTAGCCATCATCTGCATGCTACAGATTCACATGGTCTGGGGAGTTCCTTGTCAAGAAGTCACATTGTCTCAGTTAGAGAGAATGCTAATCCACACAAAGAAATATTTCTTAGCAAACCTTTGAATCCATCGAAGTCTCAAGAAAATTTTCAAGAGCTTTCAAGCAAAAGCGATTTAGACCGTCAGAATTCTCTTTTAAATAGTTCACAGAACCAATCGAGTTCAAGCTGTCAGTTGACCTTAAAAGATTCCAACTTTAATGGTTATGAGCGTGGAAGAGCTAGGGCATGCATGTTCTCTCCTAACCCCATTTCTTCTGCTAGTGAAGTTACGGTTAGAGCGAGCAGGTGTCTGCCTGAATATCTAACAGAAAATATGCCAAATTATCTATGGTCAAGTCCATTTTCCCTTGTTCCACCTAGTGGTTCTACTACTGTCCTTGTTCCTCAACCATCATCAAATGCCGCATTCATGTTGTCTGTAACTTCTAGTGCAGTCGCTGCCCCATTTGCTGGGAGGACAAGTGCCATTACTTTCCAGCCCAGGTAACAGTAACCATCATTCACCGATATTTTAATTCATATGCTTATTCATTTTGTATCTTGTTAAAATTTCTTTATTTTGCAGGTACATTATCAGCAATGCATGCAGCAAGGACGTGTGTTATAAGCAGAAAGGAACTGATTTTATTTTTCATTTGGGCATAGGAGAACATTCTCATCTTCACTGGATGGATACAGCCATGTAAGTTACGTTTTAAATGCTGAATCATCTTGGTTTTGTTGAATAGGTTGAATGCATGCTCAAGTTTAAACTTTAAAATGAGAAATACATGAGATGAGATATCTTTTATGTATATTATCTATCAGCCTTCTTCCCTCTTACTTGCTTGTTCATATTTCAATCTTCTGCAGGGAGTTACTGGTTTCCATTCGTTACAATGAACCTGGATGGCAATGGTCAGGTGGCTTCTTGCCAGATCATCTTGGAGATACGCAAGTGAAAATGCGGAATTATCTTTCTGGTTCATTAAATATGATACGTGTTGAAGTGCAGAATGCTGACGTCTCCATGGGAGATGAAAAGATTGTTGGAAACTTCCATGGAAATTCTGGCACAAATTTGATTCTCATATCAAATGATGAGACTGGGTATATGCCCTACAGAATTGATAATTTTTCAAACGAGGTTGGTATAACAATTAATTTTAACAGAAAACTAGTTTATATTGCAAAATAGTTTATGTATTACCTTGAGTTTTACTTCTATTTTCTTGTTATCCTGCTTCATAGAGATGTGATTGTCAATTGTCATTTAATTCCTTAGTTTATCTGTGTCTCTCTCTCATAAGTATTTGATAGCAGTGTCATGTTTTAAATTAGTAGTTGTTCATTATCTGGTTTAAGGAAAACCTCTGTTTGGTTTCACATTTAGTTGAGCCGTAAGCAAATGCCAAAATGCATTGTTGTGAACTACTATTGAGTGGAGCATTCTTTCTAAAGCTTAGTGAACTCGTTTTTGCATTTTAACCTTATCATACCATTTACTAAAATGGTTTTGTTGCACGTCTTGGCACTTTTTAGAGGCTAAGGATCTACCAGCAGAGGTGTGAAACTGTTGAAACTACTGTTCACTCTTACACATCTTGCCCTTATGCCTGGGATGAACCATGCTATCCACATCGTCTCACTGTGGAGGTACACCCTTTTTTTGTTTGTGTTAACTGTAACAATAGATAGTTTATTGTGCTTACTAAAGAGTTTTTTGTTTTTGTTAGGTACCTGGAAAGCGTGTTTTGGGGTCATACGCTCTTGATGATGTAAAAGAGTACAGTCCAGTGCAATTGCCATCATCTTCTGAGGTATCCCCTGAATAAATTTTCGTAACTAGCACAATTAAATTTGTTGTTTGAGAGCAGTTTGTTGCATGTTGTGTCAAGATTTTCTCCCATCTACTTCGTGTGTTTCAACCCACACATAAATTTGGAAAGATTATTTGCATAACCAATCTCATTGTAGTTCACTTTTTGAAGCTTGTTTGCTACAAATGGTGGGATACCTATTGTTAGCTGGTTGTTTGAATACTTGCTAGAATTTATTGTATTTGGAAATAAAGTTGTGTGTTTTACGTTGATGTTGTATCAAATCACCACACACGCTTCATATGTATGATTGTTCTCCTTCTAAGCTTTGATATCTGCATTCTATTTGGATGTTAATTTGTGCTAACTTTTGTAATCAGAAACCTGAGCGAACATTGCATTTATCCATCCATGCCGAGGGAGCAACGAAGGTTCATTTCTTATACCTTGGCACATGCCACAAACTATCTATCACTTATCTTCATTAGCTTAGTGATTGTCTTCCTTTATTGCAGGTCCTCCATGTTATTGACTCAAGTTACCATATTTTAAATGACATGAAGAAGACAAGTGTCCCTCGCTTAAGAGAGAAAAGGAATGATGAACAGAAACAGGACAAGTGTATAGGTTTCATGGAAAGAATTTCAGTTGTTATTCAACACATTGGTATCTCCATGATCAATATTCATCCACAGGTAGGGAAAATTGTATCTTCTATCAGGTTCCATGGAGCTTTGTCAAACTATGGCCAACTGTTGTTTCTTTTGTAGGAATTGCTTTTTGCTTGTGCAAAGAACATTACAATTGATCTCGTACAGAGTTTGGATCAACAAAAACTCTCCTTTCAAATGACATCATTGCAAATTGATAACCAGCTGCGATCTTCCCCATATCCTGTTATTTTGTCTTTTGATCGTGATTACAAAAGCAATCCCATTGGCCATGTGAATAAGGATGATGTCACGAAACAAAGAAGTGAAAGAATGCTGCAAAGGACTTCTCACAGCTCTTTCGAACCTGTATTCTACCTTGCTGTATCAAAGTGGAGGAAGAAAGATGTCTCATTGGTTTCATTTGAATATATAAGCTTAAGGTGTACATTTCTTCAATTAAAACAGTTGAGATAATTTGATGCCTTTTAGTGCTTATTGTTGTCTGTTTAATGATTGCAGAGTTGCTGATTTCTGTCTTGAGCTTGAGCAAGAATTGATATTAAGCCTCTTTGGCTTCATCAAAAATGTATCTTCAAGGTTCCAGAGTAGAGTCTTGCCATTATCAGATCCATTCTTGGGCTCTCATATTAAGGATACAGGTTTAATGGATTCCTATGCAACAGAGAACCAACTTCACTTAATGACTGTTCCCGTTTTTAATGAAAGCCACAAACCCAGACTCTCACTACCTTTAATAGTTCCAATTGGAGCTCCATGGCAGCAAATTTACCTTTTGGCTAGAAGACAGAAAAAGATCTATGTTGAAGTGTTTGATTTGTGCCCCATCAACTTGACCTTAAGGTGGCTTGCAAATCCATTAAAAAATGCCTCTGGAATAGTTGGAAATATCTTAAAATTTGCCACTTGACAAGTTATGAATTTTGTCTCAACAGCTTTTCCAGTGCTCCATGGATGCATAAAAATGGGATTCTTACCGCCGGAGAATCTGTTATCCATGTAAGTGGCATAAATATTACCCTAAGAGAAGCTTTAAATAGTATATAATATAATTGCATAAAAAGTAAGTTTCAAACTATTTATATTGTCTGAGCTGTGTACATGCATTTGAGGCAAAGGATGAGGTAATGTATGAGTAGATGTCATATAAGAACAAATAGGCTTTCGATCTCACAATGCACTGTACACAGACACAAACACCCACATACCATGTGCCCGAAGACATACATAATCTCCTTTGTTTACTTTTTCATACTTACAATGATACTTAATTGCAGAGAGGTCTTATGGCTCTTGCTGATGTTGAGGGTGCACGAATCCATCTCAAGCAGTTGACAATTGCACATCAAATTGCTAGCTTGGAGTCTCTTCAAGAGATCCTTGTAAGGCATTATACACGGCAACTTCTTCATGAGATGTATAAGGTAAATGTTAACATTAGACCCTAAACATTTACCTACTAAGGTGTCTAGAGACACTTGGCAATAGTGAGCAATTTTATTCTCTTAGTCACAATTGGTTAGTTAAACAGGTTAATTATTTTGGCACCCCTGAGTTTAGGGGCAGTTTTTTCTTTGCTATCTTTCCGATTGGAGAGCTGCTGCTTCCTAGTAAAGCCTTGTTCTGTTCTGCTGAATACATTTTTGCTATCTTTTTGTTTTGTTTTGTCATGTATGTGCTTCTTTTATTCAATGAATTTTGTTTCTTAGTTATAAATAAAAAAATTAAAAAAATCATTATAGATTTGCACCCCTTGAGATAACATGTTTTCTCATAACCATTGTAATATCCGAATTTACACCCCCAGAGATTTCAAATTTGTTGCTCATAACCTGTGCAAAACACAGGTAACTGACATGAAAAATGTGATCAAAAGATTAAAACACCCTTACAATGTTTTGGGTTAATTACACAGATACACCCCTAAGGTTTAAGGTGTTTTCACATAGGTCCCATACACTTCTGAAATTACAGGTTTATTGATTATGTAGTTGTGATCCACTTCTTGCAAGTTTTTGAGAACTTTAACCTCATCAATTATGCTCGGATGCCACCACATCATGTTTGGTTGAAATTTTTTAAGACTCTACCATTCACACTTGTGCTTAAAGCTGGGTTTACCAAAAGGGATATCTTTAACTTACACCTGCTGGTTGCATTTGTGCTTCAAACATACTTTGGGGCTCATATCTTGACCTATATATGCAACTGTATGCATAATTCAACATCTGTTCAGATTCTACTAAATCCATAGCCTAGTATTTTGGCACTTTAGAGCAGGGCATGTAAGTTTTTTTTTACTTTTGCCCCCTCAACATAGGGCGCATTCCGCTAGTCTCTAAAGAGTCTATGCGTAGACTAAATTTCAGTCTGTGTGGACTGCTGCTTCTTAGGACTTGGATTGCTCATTCTAACTGTTACATTGCTTATCATGCGATGAATTACCTATTTTGCAGGTGTTTGGTTCTGCTGGTGTTATAGGCAATCCCATGGGATTTGCAAGGAGTATGGGGCTTGGCATTAGAGATTTCTTGTCAGTGCCTGCCCGGAGCATTTTTCTGGTAAGTTTTGGAAGAAAAAAAAACTGCTTTCCTCTTTTTATCAGTATAATCATTCTTTTATCCTTTGATAGAGCCCCACTGGACTTATTACTGGCATGGCACAAGGCACCACTAGTCTTTTAAGTAATACTGTCTACGCTATAAGTGATGCTGCCACACAGTTCAGCAAAGCTGCACACAAGGTAACCCCATACCTAACGACATTTTTGTGGTCCATAGTTTAGTTTCTTCTTTTATTATTAATTGGATTTTCATTTGTAGGGCATTGTAGCATTTACATTTGATGACCAGGCTGTTTCAGGAGTGGAACAGCAGCAGATTGGTATAGCAACTCACTCTAAGGGTGTGATAAATGGGGTGTTTGAGGTATGTCGATAGCATATCAATTTGTGCAGTAATTTGTTAGATGCTGAGATTTATTCAATTAATTTCTCTTTGTTGATTCCAGGGACTCACAGGTCTTCTTCAATCACCAATTAAAGGAGCTGAGAGACATGGTCTTCCTGGTGTCCTGTCAGGTAATGCAATACAAGGATGCATTAGTAATAACATTATCTTGTTTGCCTTCATTATGATCGGCAGCTAACAGAATAAAGGATGTTATCACCTTAAGATGCTCAGGTGTTTAGCTATGGTTGCCTGCGTGTTGATAATGTTCTCATGTTCTCCATATCTATGGTGCAGGCATAGCTTTAGGTATTACAGGACTTGTGGCTAAACCAGCTGCTAGTATTCTTGAAGTTACTGGAAAAACTGCACAGAGTATCAGAAACCGGAGTAGGTTCTATCAAATGGGACAACAGCGCTTTAGGGTCCGTCTTCCAAGGCCTCTAATCAGGGAACTTCCCTTAAGACCTTACACTTGGGAAGAAGCTGTTGGAGCATCAGCACTTGTAGAGGCGGATGATAGTTTTAGGCTCAAGGATGAGATTTTGGTCATGTGCAAGGAACTAAGACAAGCTGGTAAATTTGTCATCATTACACAGAGGCTTGTATTAATTATAAGCTGCTCAAGTCTGGTGGACTTAGGTAAGCCCGAATTTCGAGGTGTTCCTGCTGACCTGGAGTGGGTAATTGAATCTGAAATTCGTTTGGAGAGTGTTATACATGCTGACTGCGATCAAGGAGTAGTACATATAGTTGGAAGCAGTTCAAATATTCCTTTGCGGCAAAACCAGCAAGCTAAAAGAAGCAGTGGAACGGGAGCAGTGCGTTGGAACAATCCTACTGTTCCTCTCATTCAGACAAACTTGGAATTGGCGCACCAAGAAGAAGCAGAAAACTTGTTACAGATTTTGTTGTCTACGATTGAATTGGGAAAGGAGCAAGGGTGGGGTTGTAGGTATCTTCTGCATCGAAGTAACATCAAATAAGTCGGGCAGAGCATAATTATACACTTGTTTGAAGGATTGAATTTCTCACAATGCTAGCAGGCCGGAGGACTTGTTACAGATCTTGTGATGTTTTACAATGGAGTAATGTCAACTAGGTCTAAAGTCGAGCTTCTTTATCACAGTTTGAAGGATTGAATTTTGTAGGAAGCGTGGTGAAGGGAGTGAGAAATGAGTCACTTGTATGATTTTTATTTTATTTTATGAACTCCCCCGATAGGAAAGCAGCATTAAGAATGCCAGCCAGAGACCTTTCCCCTTGTTATGTCTTACACAATGTAGACTTGGAATTTCCAGTCTGGTGTTCGATATGTAATTTCTACAGAAGCCAAAATTTTGTACAGTAGAAAGGTATAGGTTAGTTTTTCATTTCCTAATTTGAGGAAGTGTTTTGCATATATTTACTTGTAAATTTGTGGTTACTGAAACATTTAATGTATAAAATGTTAGTCAGAAGTTCAAATCAAATGAATTCTAAAAATAGTTATTTTTTTATCAACCTCTTCAGGTGGTATGTCTAATTTATGTTGCTTGGGACTCTTGATTTTCACCTGTGTTCTACTCAG